AACCAATTGACAATATGTGGAGTAGCCTAACATGTATTTAAACCATACCAAATGATATGAGGTAGGCGATGTGGGACTTTCAACGCTTATCTTATACATGCTTACAAGTCTAATGTAGTTGTTACTTTATTTTCGTAACTTTTTAAAAGAGTTGAATACTGCAAATGCTAGTACTAGTACCTTGAGAACATTTAGGGATATTGGATTTGGGCCTCTAGATGAAAATGTAGCAGTAAATGGAGCTGAGATTTGCACCTCGTGACTCTTGTATATCATTGCTGATGGTGATCTTAACAAAAAAAATAAAATTTAGATTGATGGTATGAGATTATCTGATCAGAGGAATTATTTTGGTTTGAATAAGTTATAGAAAAATTAGTGAGTGGCTATATATTGAGAAGTGATTGAAAACACAGACCAGAATTTGTTTTACCTTGTAGATTGTATATATTTCGTAATAGTATCACCTTGTCCACTATTCACTATGGTAGCAGGTGCCATGAAAATTTGAGCAACATCAGGAAATTGGTCACTTTCTATTAAAGTACCAATTCCCCCAATTCCTTTAACAACTGCTTCAGTTCCCCATGCTTCTAATTTGCAGTAAACAAGTTTTCCATTCACTTTATTTTGCTCTAAGGTGCCTTCTAAGCAGAATCTGTTAGTACATCAAAATGTTCCTTGTTATTGTTGAACAATTTACCAGGTGCTATTGACAAACATTGGAAAATTACCTAGCATCCTCCTTGTCTTTTGAGTCTTTGGCTGCATCAACCCCACTGACAAGAGGGTACTGTTTTGCTTTTGGATCAAAACAACTCACGCCTACCCCCTGCACATCCTCCATTATTACCAAAAATATTTCACCAAAACACAGAATGTCACATTGCATACTAATAGAACCATATCACTTCCCATATGTTACGTAAATTTTGCTTTGTATTCTTTAACAAATTATTTGGTCTTGCATTCTGTAAAATCCCTATCAATCCCAGGTATAATTAGTTAATGGATCACTCAATCGTGCCACATGTTGTTTACATAATCTACAGCACATCGAAATCTCAGTTATTACTTTTTCCAATGTCCCATTTAAATTAATCATAGATGTACATGCAAACCTTAGTTATGAAATGAAAATTTGACTATGGTTTTGTGACCTGTGGATAAAATTACTTTTAGCCTTTCAGAACACGTAAATGGCGAAAGAAACAAACTTACGGAAAAATTCTTTCCATTTCCCAACTGAACAGTGCTCTTGAAGGCCCTGTCAATGCCACTAGCTGCTACAGTTACAATCCATGGTGCAGTATTTGTTACACTTCCCAGGCTTGGACCAGCATTTCCAGCGGAGGCCACTGTGATTATACCTTTCCTCATGGCATGAAATGCACCAATGGATATAGAGTCTTTAACATAACTAGGATTCCCTCCACCTATGGAAATAGATATGACATCCACACCATCGTGTATGGCAGCATCAAATGCAGCAAGTATGTCCATGTCTGCACATCCACTAGACGACCAGCAAACTTTGTAAATTGCCAACCTAGCCGACGGCACGGCACCGCGAGCAGTCCCATTGGCCAACCCAAAGAGATTTGCCTTTGGTACCAGATTTCCTGCAACTGTTGACGCAGTGTGAGTGCCATGGCCATCAGTATCCACAGGAGATAATATGTCTGATGGATCAGGGTTTCCATCAGCCTTGAAGTACTTGGCCCCTATGATCTTTCTTCATGTTTGCCACAAAGAGTTACCATGCAGATGGAATTCATAAGTTAGATCTTGAGCTAAACCATACATAAATATGTCCATTTAATGTTCAAAACATGATGATCAATAGCAAGGATTATGTAAAGAACTATGAACCTCCTTAATAAACTTTTCAAGTGCTTAATAGCAAGAATTTCCTCTTGAGAGATATTATTTGATACTGTTCTTATTTCTTATTTCAAGTGCTTCTTCCTTTTCAGGATAATTGTTATTCTTTGTATTAGTTAAGATCACCTATAACATCAAATCATATTACAATGGCTTAGAACAAATTCTTGCATACGATATGAGAAGATGAGTTTTAACCAGTGTGACTAAAGAACTTTTAAGAGATTTGTATCTAAAGGGAATATTTATTTCCAAAAATATCTCATCTAATTGATTATTTTTATTCTGTTCTACTTGAATCAAAAGCCTAGCCCTTCAGCTGATTCACTATGAATTGAATCTTTGTGAAGGATGACACATCCATTTATGGGGTGAAGAAAAATTTCTTCCAGAATGTACTTTTGTTGTGGTTTAATTCTTCAAGAAGAATCCTAATAATCTAGGTAATGTGAGGAAGCAATATTAGCAAAGTCCGAAGCAATGATTTCTTGGGTGATTAACCACGCACTATGTGTTAGATACTTTCGAAGAAGAAGAGCTTTGAGACCAAATTTAGCAGAATTTCATGGCCAAATTTCTTCTTCCTCTGTTTTGGGGTATTTGGATCTAGAAAGATGACTGGAATGCTACCAGAGTAAGAGAAGATTAGACATTCTTATCAGTGAACAAGGGAAAATATATATTCCATGTATTACTCTTGTTACTGTCATGTTTCTCCTGTTTGTTTATGCCTATGTTCCATGTATTACTCTTGTTATTGTCATGTTTGGACTTTACTTGAGATAAAAATTGCAACTTTCCTTCTAGTCGAAAGTTTTTTGAAATCAAGTTGGCCATAAAAAAGGATATATAGGGTATGAAGGTTCTGGGAGAAGCCTGCCATCTAGTTGAAAACACTCAGAAGAAAAAGTATTGAACTTTCAACAAGATTGAACCCCATATGAATATTAAACTTTTCCTGTGTTGATTGTTTATCTCTTCATATTGTAGCACGAGACATCATAGGAGTAGGATTTTTTAAGGGAAGGGCACAGAACTGAGTAGATTAATGAAATTCAGGTATCTTAAACCACAAAAGTCCCTAGTAAAAAAAATCAGATTTAGTTCAAAATTCTCCAAGGGATAAATTTTAAATCCTTTTATCTTAGCTCTGATGTGAAATCCTCTTCTGCTTTTATAAAAATTCTTACTTTTTTTATGGGTAACACAATCTTGAATTTGGTGATTCTTGGTTTATTTGTTCTTTAAAGGTACAATTTGTCAAAAGTCAACTTGAATAGATTTAGTTCATGTAAACAAATAAAAAATCATAGTCCATCCTCACTTTTTGTTTTTGGAAAACTTAATGCTTATGTCAATTATCACACAAATACAAGTTTTGTTACTGAAAGTGTAAAGTAGGGACAAATTTATAGTCTGTGACAAAATTTGTAGCTTTTTCTAAACATCTGTAGTTATTATTTGAAAACAGATCTCCCGGAATAGGAAGAACAGTTTGAGGAACATTTTACTTTCTATTCATGTAAAGTACATTCAATTGAAAACTCATAAGAAACAATTTACAGTGCTAACAAAAATCACTGTTTAATGAATATATGTTTATTACTAAAGAAGCTTATTGTTTAATTTACTCCATTCTTGTGAAATTTGTAAAGAATCTAGCATTCTTTAAGTAAATAATTCACTGATTAAGTGGTTCACAAACTGATAAATGATTTACACATAAAACATGATAAAGAAAAATAATTCTGTGACAATGCAGTGACACAATGTATACAAGGAAAGAAAATTTACTTATTACAGCCTGAGAAATTAGCATAGTGGTCACAAGATCCTTTCCATCTTTCTGGTGGAGGACCAAATCCGTTGTCATTGAAGCTTTTAGACTCAGGTGTTACCCCTGCCTCACCAATATTGAGAAACAGTTTTTACAATTAAATTAAGTACCATTCATGTAACATAATATCTAACACTAAGAACATTAATACACAAAGAAGAAAATGAAAAATGTGAGCAAAGCCAAGATGAACCTGTATCCAAAAGGGCAACAATTATGTCACTTTCTACTTTCAATCTTCTCCTGGCTGTTGGAGGTAACCCAATGAAGTTCCACGATCTTGTTGTGTGTAGCTGGCGGTACTGATTTCGAAACACTAAAAGCACTTCATCCATGGCTAAACATGCAAAATGGGTTAATAACATAATATATAGTGCTTGAAAGAAACATAAAGGAGCTAGAGAAAATTGAAAAACTATCCTTACAAGATAAACTCTTGGCTTCATTGTCTGACAGTTTTGCAGCAAAGGCATTGAAGTTCCTTGTGTAACTATACACCAAGGATTCTTTGGCTTTAAGGTAGCTAAGTGAGCACAAATCAAAATCCAAAAGGCTTTAATCCAAAGAAATAAAACCGAATATGTTCACATGGTTTATGAGAATGGTTATACTTTTAAGAACTAGATTGAATTTGATAGAATGAGGGCAACATATCTAGTTCATCTTTGTTGGCCTTTGTTCTTAAAGTGGTAAAGATAAGAATATTTGTGAGTTAGTCAAGTTACCTTCCCTTCACAGAAGATAGAACATTTAAATAGGTCTCAAGTGCATTGCCTCTGCTCTCTGTATGAGGTCCCAAAAAAACAATGTAAAAGTTCTGCAGACAAATCAAATAATGGTTAAGCTCATAATGACAACAATAACTAACATGCATGCAAGATGGTAGCTTTAAGATGAAACAAATCAAATAGATCTATATAGCCAAATAAGGAATGAAAAGGGAGAAGAAATTGAATGCCTTCTGCTCAACTCCATTAACTGAAGCACTCCTTGCTAAGATTAGCAATAATTGAAGCCAAAGAAGAGAAAAGGATGTTGTATGCCTCTTTAGCAACATTTTTAGTAGCAACATGCTTGCCTTTTGAGACACTAAAACATGACCAAGCAGACTCTAAGAAACAGCTTATATACCATTCGAAAGTTAACAAAAGAAAGGATAAGAAAGCCTAATTCAATTAGATTGCTTGAAACATACAATTTTCAAAGATTAATTTGGTTGGGGAAGCTTGTAAGAAAGATTAGGAGTTTCTGAGTCCTTTGGCTGAAGTCAGTGTCACACATGGAGCATAGGGTTGCTTCCTCAGGTAAAACTTGTATTAACATTTTCATTTTCTTTATGTTTTGTTGATATTATTTGTTATTAAAAACTCATCCGATGTCATGATCTCCATAGGAGACTCATTAGTAGTGGTCCATGAAGACTAATTTCTCATCTTGTTATTCCATAATTTGTTGTCTTTATTTAACCTGTACAATTTAATTAGCTGATATTATTAAACAGTAACTCACTGCATAATTCTCGTAGTGCTTCTGTCTTCATGATTAATTTAACATTGGTAACATTTTTAGCGCCAAGGAAATATTCTCTAAATTGCATTGTGATTTCATGCCCCATATTCTGCTTCATCATAAATTTTTGTACTCAAATTTGCCAGCAAGAAATTTTCCGAAGACTCTGAGAATTTTAATGTATACCATCCTAGACTCACATCACCATCAAGTATAGTCGAGATATTGCTTAAAAACAAAGAGCCCTTGACATTATGAACACCTATTCCTTGAATTCCAATGCAAGCTTTTAGCCGTACATCACTGATTACTATGCTTAATGGGCTTAGCTTCAAGTTTAACCTAAAAGAGACTAACATTGAGATTAAAATGAGATATTGTCCCACATTTTTCTTCTTGAGATGCATTAATAATATAATATTGGGGAAGAAAGATGGTTAAAAACCTGATATCATACTACCATGTTAGTTACTCCTATACCAACCTACAAGTCTTTAAAATCTCCCATGTAGATTAAATATTTAAGCCTGTTTAGTGGTGTTAAATATAGTTCAAGATATTCCAATTGTGGAAATTTGTACTGTGGAAACAGTTCTGAAAGCAACTCATGTTTCCCTTGTAAGAGGTGTTGGATATAGTAAATAACCTTTTCACTTTTGTGAGTATTGCACAATTTTTAATGATATGTTATGTGAAGTGTACTGTAAGTTGGGAATTGTTTTGAAACACTTTTTAGAGTTATCTAATTGGAATAGAATGTCTATTAACTGCATAGTTTGATAATCTCACAATAGAATAATAGTTAAAGTAAAGAGAAATGCTATTAATATCATTTTATGTAATCTTTTTAACAAACTTTTAACAATAGATTGAAATTTAAAGAGTTTGAAAATATGTGATAGAAAATGTTGCTGGTATTCCTCTAGAAAAAATCTCTCTTTTTACAAACTATTCAACTACAATTTAAAAACACTATAAAAAAAATAGCAACTACATTTATAAAAATTAAAAATATGTTAAATCAAAGAACACAAAAGGCATTACATTAAATTTAATTAAACTTTTTATCACCAGTTTCACAGTTTAAAACAAATTAAATTAAAAAAAATATATATCTAATTATCAATTTTAAACAACAAATTTAACAAGAATATTCATAAATAAATAATTAAAAAACAGATAAAAAATAAAAAATTATAAAAAATATACACTTATGTTAAATAATCAAAATACATTATTCATATATATTTATGTTAACAATAAATACAACAAGAAAATAGAACAATACCCTCATATAGTTTCAGCTTTAAGAATCCCCAGTGAGAATTCTTTGTATTTGTTGATAACCAAGATTATCTATAAAAATTAGCTGTTGTATATGAATATATAATAAAATCAATATATATATACTAGAATAAAAATTGTAACACTGTTTTAGAAAATATTTGAATAAAAAATGCCAGAACCCCAATGCCCCCCACCCACCAAGCCCAACAAAAGAAGCCCAAGGCCCAAGTACCGGCATTACGCAATACGGAGAGCAACCCGAACTTGAGCCCCATGGGGCTCGGGGAGCATATGAAATCGCCCTTTGGGCCGGACCAGCTCGATCCAAAATATCAATTACCACATATATGAGCCTTTTGGAAACTATCAATTACTTTTGCTTCAAAATATTTATTGTACTCATGTCTGATATCTGAGAATGCACTTTATTTATGTATTCCTAAAATTTAATTTCTATTTATGTGGATGGATGTTGTTTTATCGAATATGAACTATGTCAATAATTCTCAATTATTTGGTAGAAAGATTCATCAACTCCATCTCCACCATCTTTATTTCATTGTTGATTAATTTTATTTTATTTCATTTTAAGTGTTTTTTTTTAATATATATTTTATCATTTGGATTGTATTTTCTCGCAATCATATCAACACTACCTATATCATTAATACACATGTTCAAAAAACAGGTTTTTGAGAAAACGGTCTCCTTTTCTTTCTTTTTTTATACTTCAATCAGTTTAAGCATTGGTACTCAAGTCAATTTTAACAAATCAAAGATTAATTTATAATGAATAAATATAAAAAAGATTATAAACGTGGATGAACTTCTAACCTAAAATTTTCAACACGTCCTTTCTATTGAAATCTATGAGAACATCAACCAGAAACAATTAGACTTAGTGATATTACTCAATGGTATTTTATTATAAGAGTAATAAATAAATAAATAAATAAAAGTTTTTGAAGCCATTAATGTGCACGATGTATAAATAAAAGTGTGAGGCTTAAGAGGAGAGAGGGAATTTGCTTACAAACACTATTTTTGTTACTGAGTATTGTGAGAAGAATGTGACATCAATTGTGAACCACCAGATTTCACCTCCTCTTTTTTATTATTTCTTTGGAACCATTCATTTTTTCTTCACCTAACCTTTCATTTGGAAGTTTAATTCAAATAATAAAAATATTTTATATTTATTTGAATTATATAATATTTTTCAATTGAATGATAGTATAAAATCTTATTTTATAGTGTAATATTTTAATCATCAAATTGAAGAGGGAAAAGTACACGTATAGTTGCCACACAACAATATTTAAGCAACATAAGTAATTAATCACATTGATTAGGTAGGGTTTAGTTGTGCGTGACAACTTACCACTATGATAGCAGTTATATAGGGTGGAATCATCTGTTTTTTTTTTTTTAATGAACTGTGGAGGTACAAAACCTTAATCTTGTTTAATTGTTTAACTTTTCTGAGACCAGTTTTTATTCATTAAAATTATCCTAAAAACCAGAAAAGTAAGATAAAAGTATAATGAATTAAGCTGAAAAAAATATCCATTGGATTGAAATATGTTAATGAATAATTTTAATAAAAAATTCAATAAAATCAATTGAAAAAAATTATATTTATTTATATATTATAATATTATTATATTTTAAATTAAGATCGATTTCATTATATTTTTAAAAGAAGATTTTTTATTATATTTCAAAAAATAATTATGTCTCAATATTATTAAACATGTAATATTTGTTTGATAATTTAAATTAAGTTTTATATGAAAAAGTTAAACAATATATAATAAAAAATATTACCTATAATCAAATACTTTTTAGTTAAAAATAATGTTAATAATTTGAGTTGAATTAATGTTTTATTAATATTGTGAAAGACCCAACAATATTTATCTTTAAATTTAAGAAAAGTATCTAACTTAATTAATAAAATGATAATTACATTTATTTATATACTTAATGTTGTCGTGTTTTTTAGTGAATAGTTTCAAATAATTTCTACTCTAGTTTTTTTCCTACTTTCTTAATTGTTTATTGAACAGGCTTTTCAACTGTAATTAAATAATTGTTATGCCAGTTTTTGGTCGGGAAATCCAAAAGAAATAAAACAAATGAAAAAGGTGAAAGAATGTGCATGATATCTAAAGCATGAGGAGAAAAAAAACACTCTATCTCTCTATCAACACCATCCTATCTCTCTATCATCACATAAATAATTTCAAAGAACAAAAAATATCTATTTACGCTACAAAATAGGAAAAGAAAAAAAAGAGAGTAATATGTACATGACTCATTTCATGGCAATTCTTAAGGGGCATAATTTTACCTCGTACAATCACTATTTATATAATATATATATATATATATATATATATATATATATATATATATATATATATATATATATATATATATATATATATATAATGAATGATGATGATACGATGAAAGAAAAAAAAAAGAAGGAAAAAAAATTATTATGCTCATGTCATCATTGTATATAGTAGGTTAATGAATACACTCAGTATCAATAGGTAACATATGTTGATTTGGTGGAAAAAAAAAAAAACTTAATTTTGATTATCGCAGAACACATTTTAAAAAATAATAAATAAACAAGTGTGTCTAAATCACAGATAAAAGATTAATCCTAAATCTAAAAACGAATTAAAGCTTATCGAAATTTAAAAACCAAAAGCTTATAGGAATGTTTTGATGGAGAAAAATAGTTAAAAAAAATAAAATCACAACAACTTCAATTCTCTTCGAAAAAATAGAAAAGTTATTAGAGATAATTTACAAAATTACGCACGGTGCATGCAAGTTGAATTAATTATTGACTAATAATTCATTCACTTGCCATTGTTATGTTATGGATTGGATTCTCTTTTTTGTAAAAGTGATGTTTCACTCTCTTTCAACTGTAGGAGAGGAAGAGAAAGAAATTTCAATGGATGAGAGTAAAAAAAAAAAACTTTGGATTATTAAGAAGAATTTTTTAAACTTAATTTACATGTTATTTTTTTATAATTTTGGATTTCAAAATATAATTAGAGATATTTTTACTAATACAGAGGGGAGTGAAAATTGGAATTGAAGAAAATTATGTTTTCCTCTTATCTTTCACTTCTAAATAATTGAATTAAACTAAGGATTTCAAAAAGAAAAAAAAAACATATTATTTTGTTCCCTGTTTTTTACCCATCAAACATTATGTTAAATATACTTAAATTATAATCAGTATTTCTATCATGAATGTGTTATTACCTTCACGACCATATTAGTTACATGTGATTTCATTTAAGATCTAATTAAATTTCTATTGTTTTTAAAATATTGTCGTTGTGGTCATACTATTATAATTGTACTTATTAATTAATATAATATAATAAATAAATAATTTATAGTTTTACATAATTATATAAAAATATGTATCTGAATTAAAATATCATATTATAATTAATCATTTACTACAGGTGACAGGTGTATTTAAATATATATATATATATATATATATATATATATATATATATTGAAAATATTAAATAACTACGACAAAAATAATAGTTTAAGATAAAAGTTTTGTTACTTTTGTACGCTTGGTCAATAACTTTTTCTTGGATAAATATAAAATATTGTTACTGCAAATGAATTCACTACGAAGTTGATGAGATAAGTTTTTTAATTTATTTTAAAGTAAAAGTATAATTATAGTTAGCTTCAAATTTCTAATTTTAAAAAAATGAAAAAAATTACTTTATTAAAATACAAATTACATAAAGAATTCAATTAATATATGACCGTTAACATTGTCATTAACATATAAATTTTACACAGAACTCATTGAAAATCTTATTCAGTATATATTATCTTATTATATATAATACATTTTTTTCAAACTTTATTAATGTATGATATATATTTTTTTAATAAGACGTAAAGTATCTGTAATAATTAATTTAAAAATAGAAATATATACAAATAAAGAATATTAAAAAAAAATGATAGAATGAAAGTGGACATCGTACGAATGCGCTCCTAGAAAATGACGTCCACCATAGAGAGATTCTGTTCTGCGTGTTTCTCAAATCTAGCGATTTCTAGTGTTACTTTCTGACCGTTGGATCAGAATCCCTGCATCGGATACAGAAGACGGAGCATCGCACGCCTGTGGTCCCCGCCTCAACTAACCCTTCAATTATTTCATCCTTTCTACTCCATCCACGTGTTTCAATCTTTAAATATGGAGATATAATATTGAGTTATAATTTTTTTTAAATAATAAATAATTTTTTTAAAAATAAATTGATCCCTCATCCATTCCTTATACATCATAAAAATAAAATTTCCTTGAAATAAATTATTAATGAATTATTTTAATCTTTCGTACTTGAATGGATATTAAAATAGACTAGGATTATTGTTCATGATAAATGAGAGTGGTTCACGTTTTCTTCTACGGACGATATTCATTTATCAATTAAGTCAATTAGATTTTTTTAGGGATGGGTCCCATATTTATATAAAAAAAAGAAAGATACATAATAATAATAATAATTATTATTGAGATTAAAATTACTCTTAATTTTTTTTAAAGAGAGAGAGAGAGAGTAAACTATATTTTTTAAGACAGGTAAGAATTAATATTAAAAGATGAAGAAAAAAAAAACACTTTACATAAACAATAGAAATGGAGAGTATGAAGAAAAGCATTGGGGTGGAAAACTTGATCATTAGCGACAACGATTGAATAACATTGGCAAGTATTTTCTTTGTAATATTTCCATAAATAGATTTTTTTTTGTGTGGTTCTTGCCTTAAATAGAAATGTCATGGCACCAAAAGATCTAATATAACTCATTAATACCTTCCACACGCCACCAAAATGGGTGCCCTTCACGCGCCATAATCATAGATAAAAGTGAAAACAAAATTGAAGAACATAATTTCGTTTCTCTTGTTTATTTTGAATTAGAATTATGGCATACTGAAAATAAATAAAACTTCCTATTTTAACTGGAAAAAAAATCATATTATATTGTATATTCTTGAAGTAAAAATAAATAAGATGAGTCATTTACCATGAAAAAATAGAATGTATTGTTCATCCATTATTCTTATTGAATAAATTATCAACATGTTTCTTTCAACATGGGTCATACAATCATTATCTCAAAAATTAATTTTTAATTGTGACTTTATAATTGTAATTCTTTTTTATAAAAAGTACGTGAGTAGATGAATTTTCATGATTAAATTTTAAAAAATAGGGTCTCGTTCAAATTTTCACTGATTAAATTAATCTTTAAATTTTAAAATTAGCGTATAATTTTCAATTAATAACAAAATCGTGATAGTTAAGGTTCAAGATTAATTTAAATTTTAATGAAAAATCAATTTATTAAAAAAAATTAAACTTAGTTAATATAATTAAATATTTTTTATTGTTAAATTAATCGTTATTTGATCAATTTCTTACAATAAAATCAGGAACTTCAATATATATTTACATTCACTTATTGAAGATTCTATTTTTCCTTTTGCTAGTCTTTGATTTTTTTCCCCATTTATCATTTTTCATTGAACATTCCTTCTATTCTAATCTTGAGATTACACAAACTTTATTATCATTATGTAACATTATTTATCTTTATGTGAATTTTGGAGAATAAAAAATTATTAGGTTTTTATTCGAAAACCAAATTCTTCTACAAAAGTTATTTATGATATAAAAGTATTATTTTAATATAAACTCATAAATATAAGTTTATTATAATAAAACTTCCCATTAAATCGTTAAAAAACTATATATTTTCATCGTATTTTTTAATCTAAAAATAATAATTTATCTTATATTTGTAAGAACATGAAATCGTAATCAGAAAATGAATATGAAAAGTGGTATGCCAAAACTTAGAAAATAAAACGTATTTATCATAATCATATTGACACTTGTTATTTTGAATGAGTACATATCCCTGTAAGGAAATAAGCTGTTAGAATTAATTTAATTAATTCATTCCATTATGTGACTCATGTGAAATATAATAATGGGCCCAAATGTGATTTAATAAAATATGAGGACCTATTGGTTATTATGTGAAGTCAGAATAAAATAAAGATAAAATAAAATATTAACTTACGGTAACCAACTTGATGGACGTTGGTTAATAAAAGGGATTAGGGTTCTGTCTCTGGCCATAAGGTTTTTTCACGGTAAACCATCAAGAAAGCAAAGCGTGAGAAGAGAAAGAAAGACAAAGAGATAGATTGGGAAAAGGAGATAGGAGAACGAAAAGATCAAAGAAAAAATTCTCATGGATCAAGGTTAGTCTTCTTACTATGATTCATGTATTGATGTATGTAAAATTGTGAAAATCAATAATCTAAAGATCCTGTAGAGTAGTTTTCTATAATGAATTAAGAACGTAGGAAAACTACATAGTGTTTTACATGTGGTATCAGAACCTGATTATTAGATTTATGATTTTCCTTTTATGAAAATATTTCTCAAATGATGTTTTTCCCAAATTAAGATAAACCCTAATTATGAATTTAGGGATTTCTCTATCAGATTAGTATGAACCCTAATTTATTCCCAATTTTATTTTTCTCAAAATTAAATAAAGGAATAAACCCTAATTATGTTTTCAAGTTCAAATTGAAACCAATTTTATAGTCTCTATGCGTGAATGACCCTGTAATCCTTTCTAATTGAAAAGGCAAATGACGTGATAGGGTTAGGATGAATCATGTATGAAATTAGTTTCATTGTATGTTATAATTATGATGAGATGTTATAATTATGATGAGATGTTATGATGGGATGTTATAATTATGATAGAAGAATGATAAATTGTAAATTTGATAAACTTTGCACGTAGAGAACACGTGTTAAGCACATATGTTTCATATATTATATTATATTATATTATTTATAATATTATTTTGTATGTACATATTGGTGATTGGTGACTTGCTAAAGTCATTTTCCCCTATATTATTTTGTCCCCATATTATTTGTACATTATTTTGTACGTACATATTTTTTTTATGTGGGGGAAGGATAATTAAAGAGATATTTTTATGTTAAAGTGAGTTGTATAATATACTCATACTGTAAAACTTTGTTATGGTACGGTAAAGCTTTGTTATGGTACGGTAAAGCTTTGTTATGGGTACTATATTGTTATGGGTACTGTAAAGCTTTGTTATGGGTACTATAAAACTTTGTTATGGGTACTATAAAACTTTGTTAATGTACTGTAAAGCTTTGTTAAGGTTGTTAATGTACTATGAAGCTTTGTTAAGGTTGTTAATATACTGTTTTGTTAATGTACTGTGAAGCTTTGTTAATGTACCTATAATGTAAACATTATGAACGAATCTTGTTTTGCAAACTGAATTGTATTGTTTCTGCTGTGTTTAAATTACTCATAAAAGTTTTGAATGGATGACAATTTCACTTTTACGTGAAATGCAAATAAATGTCTTGGATTGAAAATCAATCTTAGGATGAAAATTGAAATTATGAGTTTCAATTTTATTTATGACACATAATATTTTATTATGTGAATAATGTACATATTTATTAAAATTAATAAAAAAAAATTCTATGAATGGTTAATAGCAATTAAAGATGTTATTTATTTGAAATTAAGCATGATAAATTTTGTTAGTCACCAAAGTGACCAAAATTTTAAGGTTATTTTGATTTCAAATTATTAGTGATTTTATTTCAATTACCTATAGTATGAATGCTAAAATTATGACTAATGATTTATGGGTTAATTGAAGTTCATTATTATAAGGCATTTCGGGATCACCCAAAGGTTGATTAGTTGTTATTATAATTAATGAACATGAAAGTAGATAATTTTGTGTGCGTCACTAGTTTTATTTATATACCCAAAGGTGTTAGGTGATTCTAGTTGATGCATATTTTAATTATCATTAAAGTTATAAAAAGATTAGCGTAATTATGTTTGTGTATTAGTGGATCTCCCAAAGGAGAACATTAGTATGCATAGAATGGTTATTTATGTTTGAATCTGTAATTATATTTAGTTTTTATGACTCAAAGCGTTAATGTTAGGCATGTGTTAATTGAAGTATTTGTTTATGTATTTCTACATTCGCTTACTTCGTCTGTTCCAGTCTTTAATAGATTAAATTCCCTGACTGGAGTGAGAAAGTCCAATTTCACTTAGGTGAGTTGGATTTGGCTTTCCAAGTTGAAAAACTGACTGCTATCACTAATGCTAGTAGCAACAAAGAGAAAACTCATTATAGAGTTTGGAAAAGGTTAAACAGACTTAGTCTTATGTTTATACGAATGAGTATTGCAAGCAATATTAAGTATGCTTTTTCCAAAACTAAGGACGTGAAAGAATTTATGAAATTTGTGGAAGAGCGCTCTCAAACTGCTGACAAATCTCTCGCTGGGACATTGATGAGTACGTTGACCACCATGAAGTTTGATGGTTCTCATAGTATGCATGAACACGTAATCGAAATGACAAATATCGTAGCAAGACTCAAGTCTCTTGGAATGGCAGTGGAAGAAAATTTTCTTGTGCAGTTCATTTTGAACTCGTTACCGTCTGAGTATGGTTCGTTCCAGATGAATTATAACACCATGAAAGACAAATGGAATGTGCATGAATTGCACAGTATGTTAGTCCAGGAGGAGACCAGACTCAAGAACCTAGGAAGTCAATCTATTCATTACGTGAAAAATCAAGGAGCTAAAAAGAAAGTTGTTAAGAAACATGGAAAGGGTAAAGGACCATTAAAGATTAACGAGTCCTCTACTAACATTCATAAGAAAAATGACAAATGTCATTTCTGCGGGAAGTCTGGACATTTTCAGAAGGACTTCTTAAAGCGCAAAGCTTGGTTCGAAAAGAAAGGTGAGCATAATGCTTATGTATGTTTTGAATCAAATTTAACTGAAGTTCCCCATAATACTTGGTGGATTAATTATGGATGTACGACTCATGTTTCTAATGTAATGCAAGGATTCCTTTCAACCTGAACCATACACCCAAATGAGAAGTTCGTCTTCATGGGAAATAAAGTCAAGGTTCCAGTAGAAGCTGTCGGGACTTATCGTTTAATCCTTGATACTGGATCTCACTTAGACCTTATGGATACTTTTTATGTACCTAGTATCATTAGAAATTTAGTT